GCGGGCGGGGGGGGGGGGGGGGGGGGGGGGGGGGAGGACAGGTCTGGTTGTGGGGTGCAGGTGTCCCCTTTGCCCCAGTAGTGCTCTCTACCCCCTGGCACTGGGCTTGCAGGGAGGAAGGTAAGGGGGGTCCGGGCAGCAGAGACTGAGCCTGCCCTGCTCCCCTCCCACTGCCCCAGGTGGCCGCAAGGCCGGAACAAGCGGCCCTCGCTGTCGACCTTCAGCTCGGAGAACTGCTCGGACGGGGATGGGGACGAGGGCCCAGGCAGCGCCAGCGAGGCCTCGCCCAGCGCGACACCCGACGTGGGCAGCACCAACACGGACGAGCGGGCGGACGACCGCTCCGATGACCTGCTGTCCCAGGGCTCCGAGCTGCCCCTCGACCTGCCCCTGGGCCTGTCTGACGGGCTGTCCGAGAGAAGGCGGCTGCCGCCCGCCACGTCCGCAGCCAGCTCGGCGCCACCGAGGTCAGCACCACCCTCCTCCCCAGGGTATGGGGGGGGTCCTGGCACCCCCTGCTGGAGAGTTCAGGCACCTGGGGGGTGGGGTAGTTCCTCCTAGAGGGTTTAGGGGTATTGGGGTGTCATTTGGGGGGGGGGGGATGACTGCCTGGTGCCTCCTGCTGGAGAACTTGGACCTTGGGGAGGGCTTGGCAGGGGGCACTGCTGGCATTAGGGGTATTACACCCCCCCCCCAATCCTCCAGGGCTGCTTATGAGGGGGGGCATGCACTTCATCCCCTCCTGCCCCCCACCTTGATGCCTTGCTCCCCCCCAGGTGCTGGACGGGGATGCGGGCGAGGACTCAGACTGCGACAGCGCGGAGCTGGACCACTCGGGCAGCGGCGAGGCGCACAGAGCAGGCGCCCCCGGCTCGTGATCCCCCTCCCCCCTCACACTGCTGTACAGACCCCCCCCCAAATATTTATATACGTCCTCTATAAAGCTCTATATAAAGCTCTATCACGCAGCAGCGCCCCCCCAATCACTCCCCTGCGCCCAACGGGTCCCTCCCCAGCCAGGATTTTTGGGGAGGGGAGTACAGGGGGGCAGTGGGGTTCAGTCCATGTGTGCAGCACCCACCCACCCACCCAGCCCGGGGCAGCATCTGGGACCAAGGGGGCTGTGTTCCTCACCGCCACCCTTGACCTTTGGGGGGTGGTGGTCAGCCCCTCCATCTGAGCCATGCGAGCCCCTGCTGGACCCCTCCCCGGTCAGAGCCAACCTCTGTGCCCACCCCCCAAAGCACTGCACTTTTCAGTTGTTAGTAATTTATTTCTGATGAATGATGATGCATTGCACTCGTGGGAAGGGGGCTGCTTCCATGCCCCCCCACCAGGTGAAAGCTGCTGGGGAGCAGGTCACTGGGGACAGCTTTGCCCCCCTCACCTTGCATTGAGTTTGTGGGGAAGGGTCACTGCAGACAGGGCCAGAAGGGCCAGAGCCCTGGCCCCCCTGCAGACTGCCCCTTGAAAGTGTAGCTGTGCCCCCCACCCCCAGCACCATCATACCCCAGTGCCCCAGGCTGGCAGCACTGGACTCACCAGCACCAAAGCACCCCCCCCCCCTTCTTAAAGCATGACCCCCACTGTTGCCCCCAGGAAACCAGGCACCGAGGATGCCCCCCCCACCCCCATACCCTTCTTCCTGTGGACTGGGTGGCCACTTTGGCTCTGGGGCCAAGCCATACCTCGCAGCAGCCAGGCTGGGCCCCCTGCCTCCCATCCCCTCCCTGTGGCACAGCCGCGGCTGTACTATAGCCCATGTCTGTAGTCCGTCTGTTTGGGTGTCACACTGCTAGTGCGTCCCCACACGCAGGGTTCGATTAAAGACCGTTTTGTATGGAAAGTGCTGTGGACCTCCTGTGTCAAGGGGGCGGGTGGGCGGGGGATGAGGAGAGAGGAGGCCTGGCCTCCATCTGCAAGGGGCAGCTGGTGGGGACAGGCCTGTGCCCAAGGCACCAGGGCAAGGCTGGAGGGGGCAGAGAGGGTGGAAATGAGAGCCAAGCTCTCTGTTACCTTAGGCAGGGGCTTGCTGCCTGGGTCCAGCTGCACAGGGCTGTGTGCTCACCTGCACAGGGAGACAAGGAGGACTGGAACCCAGCCATTTATGTACATATAGTCATTAAAGAACAGCCTAAATTGCAAAGTAGGTTAACCCCCTGCCTGAGGCAGGACCATCCCTGTCTGAATGATCCCAACCCCTAACTCTGCCATAGCACAGACCCAACAGTCAAACCTGCTGCAAGGTCACCCCAGCAGCTAATGTCCTGCTGCAGAAAGTGGTCAAGATACCTTGTAGGTGCCACCCATGTGGCTGCAGAGGAAACCTCCACTCTGTGCCAATCTGACCACAGGGTAAAACCCCTTCTTGCCCACAGCTTTGGTGTCAGCCTGACAGTAAGTGGGAGGGCCAGGGACTTGTGATTTGCTGTTAGCACAAATCAGCCTACCCTTCTTGAAGTCCCCAAACTTGACTGTAGCCAATTTAAGGAAAATGGATCTGTCTATAAAAAGGGGAAAGCCCCAAGCTCACATCAAGACATGCTGAAACTGAGCTGCAGGGAAGTATAGATCCAGGACAAAGCAGAGCAGTGCCTCCTGGTGCCCGAGGGGCAGCATGGCTCAGACCTGCCTGCCACTGCAGCCTCCCTCCCACCTGAGCCAAGTGGTGCCTGCTCCCCAGCCCCTGCCTGCCTTAGGCTGCTCCATGATCACCAGAGCTCCTGGTTCTTTAAAAATGGAAAAACGTGGATTTTAGTTTCAAAGCATGGAAAAATGTGGATTTTGGGCCAAGAGTGGGTAGAAACACAGGAGCAAAGAGCCACTGCTGCAATAGCAAGAAATACTGTACAACAGAAGATTTGGGGGGAGTTTTTTTGTTTTCTTTTTTACTGTCAGTGTGAACTAAAAAACCCCACCACAAACTGTATTTTTTTTTTTCTTTACTGACAAGCAAACTTTTTACACTCTCGTACTGTTTCTTGGGTGGACAGCGCTGCTACTATAGAGTGACAACATTATAATGAATATATGTTGCTACTCTACATTAGCAGCACTGTCCACCCAAGAAACACTGACAGTAAAAAGTTTGCTCATCATAGATATACATACATGTTTAATGGTTCATTTATTTTACTGACAACCAAAAGTTGGGTTTTTTGTGCATGTACACCATATATTATTTTTACTGACACTCGGCAGACATGAAGGGAAGGGTTTTTTGTCCCCTTTAAAACTGGCTGGAACAGCTCCCGTAGCCCTGGCAGCCCCCTGTAACCTCCACTTCCCTACTAGAGTTAAGGCCAGGCCACTCCCCTGGGTCTAGAAGTGGGTCAAACCTAGCTGCTGTACAGGGATTTACCGGGGAGTAGAACAAGGAGCACCCAAACCCCCACTAGCCCCCAGCGAGTGGGAGAACAGACCCATTTCTCAGGGCAAACCGAGCTCAGTATCCCACACCCTAAAGAAAGACGTGAGACACAGCAGATCCATTAACAAAATATCCTCCAGGTTCTATTCACAAGGAAAAGCTCCAGTCCATCTTTTTATTTTTTTTTTTTGAAAAATTTTCCTGACATTACAGAACTAAACGGAAACGTATTAATATTCCACTCGTACATTTCTTGACATCAACAGAAAAAAAAACAAAAAAAAAAAACAAAACAAAAAAACCACAAACTTGGTGAGCTGAAGGAAAAAAAAAAATAAAATAAAATAAAGGAGGGGGGCGGAAAGCTTACAAAACTAAAGGGATGGATTCTCAGCATTTTAAACAGCTGAACAGAGAGGAATTAAAACGCTGCAATTAAAAAAAAAAAAAGAAAAAAAAAAAGGAAGGATCATGAGTGGATGGGGAAAGCGTGTAGAACTGAAAATTTACAAACTAGTTAAAACCTGGACTCTGACTGTTTCCAAACTACAGATGGATCATGGTGATGAACAGCAGAAGGGGTAATGAGGGAAGCCTTTGCATTCTTCTAGCTGCTTCCCATTCCACCGGTCTCCGAGGAAAGCCTGCAATAAAACAGAGGCATGACGGCCGGCTCAGTATGAGAGCAAATCAAGGGTTAAAATAGATGGGGAAGCCGATTTTGGGGTGAGGCCCCTACCCCCAGTCTGCCCGTTTGTGCGGCCTCCATGGCAGAGGCCAGGGGTGCTAGGTGCTGTATGGAGAGAGGCAGCCTGGTTAACCCTCCAGGACATGCAACCCCAGTGTTGCACAGGGGTCTACACACCTTGGGGGCACAGATGTGGATGCGTTGCCTCCCCACTGTGCAGCTCTCCAATGGTTAATTGGTCTCCAGTAGCTGCCCTAGAGCAAGGGGAGCATGGGGGGCTGGATGGGGCCCCACCCCTGCCCAGGGGCAGAAGGACCCTCCCAGGCTCAGTGGACCAGGGTGCCCCAACTCCCAGCCATAGCAGCTTGCCTGGCACTCAAAAGAGATTGAGGGCACGAGAATGGTGGTGGGGGCTCCCCATGAACCCCCTCACCCTACTAAGGGTGCTTGGCTCCCAGCCACAAGGAGCTGGACCAGCCCACCTATGGGAAAGAGCCAGGGACAGGGGCTGTGCTGTGGGAGCCAGGCCAGTCGCAACTCCAGGACTCACCCAAAAAGGCAGCCACAAGGCAGGAATCGGACCCAACAGGAATGGACATGTGTGGACACCTTCCCCGCCCAGACAGACCACCCCCCCCCCCCACAACAACCCCCCCCCCAAATACACATAGGAACAAAATGAGGCACAAGCCAGAGCTCCCCATCCCAACCCTGCCTCAGCTCCTCCAACCATGTCAGGAACCTGGACAAAGGCAGTTGGGACTCACTAGGACTGAAGCCCCAGCTACATTGGGGCAGGGGATCTAGAGCTGCCCTCACCCCTAGACATTTCCCCCAAGGAGCTGCTGGACTCCAGACCCTTAAGAGAAGGCCCAAGAGCCACAGCAAGCAGCAAGGAGGCTGGAGGAGCAGAAACTGAAGGGTCAGTGCCAGGATGGTTCAGGGTCAGGCCAGGAGACTTGCCTTGGCCTGAAGATGTCAGTAGCTGCAACATCAGCAGACCCCCTTGCCTCCCCTCTAAGGATAGGGCTTCCCCTTCAGACCCCAAGGAACATGCCCTGAAAGCCTCGCCAAGCACACAGCTCTGCCCTAACTCCAAGTGGGTGAGGGTGGGATGCCAAGAGCAGGGGACTCTGATCCATGGGGGCTTCTGGCAGGGCCCAGGCCTGGGTGGAAGGTGCAGACTCAAGAGCCCCAAACAGGCTGAACTTCCAGCAGCAGAGACCTGTGGGAACACTCCCTCCCAGGCCTAGAGCCATTTCCCATGCCAGCCCAGCCAGCCACCTGCCACCCACCATATCAAGGCACCAGCCCAGCCAGGAGCTGGATCAGGAGACTAAGTAATTTGCCCAAGGTTACAGAAATCACAGGCCCCAGCCCAAGCCAGGCAGCTGAAGTGAGATTGCCAAGAGCCAATTTTCAGCCCCAGAGGAGGAGGAGGAGGAGAAAGGGAAGGGACTGACCAGGCAGAATCCGAGCCAGCGCCAATGGGTCTGGAAAGCCACAGCACAAGATAGGACCCATTGAGCAGGGACCAGCTGTACCCAACATGGACAGAGGGCAACAGCGACAGCTCCACTACTCCTGGAAACTCCTTTTCTGCAGAGGGGAGGGCTGTACAGGGGGGCTCAGCATCTGAGCCAGCAACTACCACCCCCCCACCACCCAGGACCGGAGCCCTATGCCACTCCACTGCTAGAGAAAGCCATGTGCCCCCCCACACCCCATAAAAAAAATTAAAAAAAAATCCTACTACACTGGCTCCAGAGTCGCAACAAAAGCTAGCCAGTTCCAGCCATTCCTTAGCTCAGCACAGTTACCTCTACCCTGCAGGAGCCAGCATCGGGAGGGGTGAGGGCAGCAGCCTAGGCTACATGATATGCCCTGGGCAGAGGAGAGGGGTGAGAAAGAAGGGAATCTCTACCCCACTAGGCTCCTGGGACAGGCCCTGCCCACAGGCCAGGGCCTAAAGGGGCACATACGAGGGAAGAGGAAGAGCTAGGGGTCACCCCAGCTCCCCACCCCACCGCTGAAGGAAGGAGTCCTACCAGGATGGGTAGGCGTCTGGGGCCCATTTTGGGGCAAAAGAAGTGGCTGTGTGCACAAGACTGTCCTGC